TTTTTTTTTGTTTTTAAACATAATCGCTGGGCATCCAATTTTTATCCAAAATTTCGTACGGTGCAATCTGATGTATTAATTTTAAATAATAATAAAACAATGATCTTGAGTTTTTTTTGGTCTTTCTAAATTTTATGAAATTATTTTGATTTGTTTTAATGTAAATGAGTAGCAGATTGGAAAATTTGGAAGAAACAATAACAAACTCGAATGACCTAGCCCAACAAGACACGCAAAATCAGGAACATTTTAAAAGCAAGAACATTAAAAGACAAAAGGTACCATGGTTTTCCCAAAGAAACCAGGAACATCTTAAAAGCAAGAACATCAAAAGACAAAAGCTCCCATGGTTTTCCCAAAGAAACCATCGCCAGCTTTTGTTCTTTTAATTAATGAAAACATCATAATTAAGATCATCATCTTTCACTGTAATTTCATTCATAATTATGAACGTCATCTTTCACTGTAATTTCATCTTTGACTATGAAATACGAATGCCTCCTTTATTAATTATTTCTCTGATCGCTTAAACGAACAAAATATGACCGAAATTCTATGATGTTATTCCATGCTAATGTATCTCGGCTTTCTTGCTTAGAGCACTCTAATAACACAGCTCTCTTCCAAGACCTTGAGTGCAATAAGAATCATACTGGTTGTTAATAGAAGCATCTACAAGAGAAATTGAGGAGACTAGATACGAACAAACGCAAGGGCCTAGCCTAGCCCAACGAGACACCTAAAAGCAATAATTTTTTTTAACATCAATCAATAAAAGCTCTTATCCACCAAGATAGACAAAAGAAGAAAATAAAGTGACACACGAATAAACCATGGTTTGAAACTCATCTATGCCAAGGATTGAGAGGTGTAAAACAATCAAGCGACATTATCAAAGAGGCCTCCACATCATGGGCACGATAAGTGTCAACATGTGTATGCACAATGCCAAGTAAAAATATGAACGAACCTACTTTTAAGTGGAATGAAGATGAGAAATTCCTATTGATTACACTTTCAAATTTTGGGAGGAAAAAAAGGAAAAATATAGCATGAGTTTGATAACCATTTCAATTTTAGTTTTTAGTTTTCATTTTTTATTTTTTATGCTAGAGTATAGAAGGAAAAGATAAAGAATGGAAGTGAGAATGAGAGTGAAGATGAGATTGAGAGGGAATAATAGGAGGGAGGAGTAACAAAAGTGAAAACAAAATTTTATTTGAAATTGTTTTCACTTTCAAGTTTTTATTTTTCACTTTTGTTACTCCTTCCTCCCATTCTCCCTGTTTGGGCCTAAATTGAACACGCCCAACCCAACACGAAGAAGATCCAGAATAAAAGTTACAGGACTCAAGCAGTTTGGGCTTTTGCAAAACGAAAGGCAAAACCCAAAGTCCAGAGAGGCCCAGCCCAAGACTCATCAAAATGTGGCAAGCAAACTTGGGCCCCAAAAGAAAAAGTAGTCACCTTTGGGCTCCAGACAAATCAAAATAGGCCCAGCATGATTAAAAGAAAAAAGGAAGAGACCCATTTTCAGAACCCACGTGACTACCATAATGGAAAAGTCAACAAACTCAACTGAGTTGATTGAGAATTAATTAAAGTAGGTTAGTGGCAAAAGGACTTCTCTAAATTTCTGCCACCAGAAGATCAAACTCCTTCTTATATATTCAAAAATATTGATTTCACTCCAAGGAGGCACCATCCTTTCAAGAGATACGCATGCCATATTTTCAAAAAGGAGATAAGCAGGAGGATAGAGAGTTGTTCATCTGGGAAATCAAACTAACCATCACGGTTGAAATCTCACAAGGGGCTGTTAAATTGGGAAAAAGAATTAGGCTTTATCTTAAAAATAGGGAAGTGATCTCTAAGATTGATTGATGAAAGCTTATCTGCCAGAATTTAATTAAAAATCTTCCCTCTCTTATATCTCTTTGTAGATCTTTGAGAAGACTTGCCGCCCATTATTTTAAAAGAAAGAAAACCCTGCCCCTATGCATTTTTTTTATATAAATACAAGAGGGAATGAACAGGGCACAAAAAACACAATCAATCTTACACTCAATTCATCAATCAAACAAACAACTCAAAAATCAACCAAAAGCTCACTTAAACTCCAAGAAAAACTAGCTTTAGATAAGATTTCCCAAAGTTTAGACTTAACTATTCAAAACGAGATCTCTCTCGTTACAAATTTGGTTCAGCAAAGCCAAAACAAGCAGAGTTTGAGTTTTCCCAAACATGAAAACCTCAACAAATCTCACAGTGCAGTCTCTAGCTCAATACATCCTTAAGAGCAGCCACTTATGCCCATTTAAACTGAAGAAGATGCAATTCTGCCCGCTCAAAAGCCTCCCAAAACTTGAAGTAGATTAAAGCTCTGCCAAACTTGAACTTTGGTATCGATTTGTAGCTGAAGCTTAGCAGTTGAAGTTGTTGATAGTTCAGTCCAGCCCAGATATTTCCAGTCCAGCCTGGATCAGAGTCCTCTATCCAGGCATAAATGGAGTTCCAGTTGTCTTTTAACCTTCCTAGCATTGATATGTATGTTTGTAGTTTTGTAAAGGGCAGTTCTGCCTAAAACAGTCCAATTTTTATCAACTATTCTGGCCAGAACAATCGTTTTTATACTAAGATAAATTATGAAAGTCCTCACCAGCTTGAGCCATGAAAAGAACTTACTTGGGAGATATTTCTCACCCAAATTCACAATCGTTTGTTTTAGAAATCAGTAACTTGGGGAGCAAGCTATCTATTTTCTAGAAGAAGTCTGCTAGAGTCTTCACTGCTAGCAATGGCACACTCATACACCAAAAAAAGCTGTCTTGTTGACCAGTCAATGGTTTCCAAGGCAGTGGGGAACTTTGCCCTTCCATCTCAGAAGTAAACACAAAACGGGGTGAACACTCCATTCTCAAACTCTTCATCACTCTCATTTTCCTCTATACTCTAGTAAAAAAAACACAAATGAAAACTAAAAACTAAAATTGAAATGGTTATCAAACGGACCCTTAGTTATCCATTTTCAGTTTTCATTTGTAAAAAATTAAGAACAATAAACTTGTTTGGTAACTGTTTTCAGTTTTCAAATAAAAAATAACATGAAAGATGTTTGAAACTTGTTTGCTAATTGTTTTAAGTTTTTGTTATTTTTTTAGTGCCATGTGCCTGAGTCTAATAGTCATTGTGGAGTGGTCGAGGGGAAATAGGTGGGTACACTTTCTCAAGGTTTGAGCCTCGTATCCTAATTTGAAATCTAACTTAGTTGAGTAATAATAAAAACTTTGAAGTAACACCTATTTATGTGACACTGAAACAGCGAAATGAAATTTCATTAGGTCAACTGAACTTGATGTTATAAAATGAAAGTACATGGTACAAAGAATTTGTAACATTTTTCAAAGTCACAATGGAATTTTGGTGTTTTGGATCTAGAGGTCCTTAGGCCATCTCTAGCCATGGGCTAAACAAAATTTTGGCCAAATTTGGAGGGCCACATTTGGCCCTTTAGCCTTCTAACCAGGCCAAATGTAGTATAGCTTTAGCCTAGGCTAAATTTTTTGTGGACCCCATGCATTTGCTTTTTAACAACCAACATTAAAGCATATATATTTTTAAAAGCCTTTTTAAATGTTTCAGTTGGTGTTGTTTAAGAAAAAAGTATAAAAATTTATTGGTCATGACTATTGGAGGTCAAACCATTGAAACCCATCCTCTTTTTTATTTTTTATTATTTTATTATTTTTATAATTGTTGTCACTTTTTAAAATGTTTTCAAGTGTTGTTTAAAAAAAATTCTTGATCATGACCGTTGGAGATCAGACTATTGAAACCCTTTTTTTTTTTTTTTTTTTCTTTTTAAAATGTGGTCACATATATGGAATATTGTCTCTAAATAGTAGTTTAATTAATATTTTGGAGGGCTAAATTTTTAGCCTTGGATTACATTTAGCCCTATAACTAGAGATGGCTTTAGGTGAGTTTGAGGGTCCCAAGGCTCCGGTTAGGTATGTGGCCAAATGCAAGACTCGAGTGACCATGTCCAAGTTGAAAGGTCCCATATAACGAGATTTGGGACTAGAGTGCGATACATGTATGATGATGTAGAATTGGTTAATGAGAAAGAGTGACCAAAAAATGAATTTTTTTTAATATAAAAAAATTACCTTCACTATGAAAGAAAAAAAGAAGGAAAATGATTACTAAACATGTTTTTAATTTTCAATTTTCAAAGTGAAAATTGAAATTGAAAACTAAAAAAGAAATGATGGTGAAACTAGTTTATAATAACTTATTAATAAAATTGAAAGAGTGAAATTGACATGTGAGTTCAATAAATTAGTGGGTGCAAACAAATGCCAACGAGGCTAGTTGAGTGGAAAATAACTAAGATTTACAGATCAGTTATTTTATGTGTCGAACCTTGACTTGTAGTTGTAAAAAGCCCACCTTCCCCAATATCATTTGTATATATATATTTTAAAAAAAACAAATGCTCTTTCTTTTAGGGGTTACCTAATAGGTTATTTTTGAATTCCAACTGATAAACAAAAATCCAACAAAAGTATTGATAAACAAAAGGAATATTTTCTAATTGAAATAAAAAGACTAATTAATAATTCATAGAAAAACAAACCTCATAAAAAACGCTTCAAAAAAGAAAAAAAAAGAGAGTAGCCAAAAAAAGAAAAGAAAATGGGAGTTTCACTAAAACACCCAAAATGAAGGTTGAAATTATAAAAAAACCTAACACCCAAAACACTTTATAAACACACCCAAAACCCATCATTATACACACTCAAAACCCATTTATAAACACACCCAAAAAGTTGACCTTGGGGTTAATTTTGGGTGTGTTTCTATGTTTAAATAGTGCTTGGGTTTTTTTATAAATACATGTCTAGGATTGAGTTTATTTATAAATTTGTAAAAGAAAATTAGCCACTCTAAAAGGACGAAAATGTCCTCGGTGCTCGTATATTATTGCCCTAGGGTTTTGACAGCCAGCCTCTTTTAAACGAAGGAGGGCTTGAGAGTTTACTTTAGCCGAAGCGCAGCGGAGAGAGCTCGTTCGCCGTCTCAAGTCACCGAAGCTCTCTCTCCAGTCGGAAACCATGGGTACCTCTAAGACCCTCCCACTCGCTGTCTCTTTGTGTGTTTTTCGTGCAATGGCTGATGGTTTTTTTCTGTGATAATTTGTAGGTATCTCACGTGACTCGATGCACAAAAGACGTGCCACTGGAGGCAAGAAGAAGGCATGGAGGAAGAAGAGAAAGTAAATGCTCTTCCACTTTCAATCCCATTTCTCTTCCTAATCTCTTTGGTTTAGTCTTTGTTTGGTTTTTTCTATTTTTTTTTTTCATTTTGTATTATACTTTGCTTGGTATTTTTAATAGTTTGCGGTGTTTTTGTCCTGTTTCAATTCTTGTTTCGATTAGGCTACAGATCTGGTAGTAACCGGAAATTATTACTGGGTTTTTGATTTGGTCTTCGTTTCTTATATCGGTCTTGATCTCTGGTTTATTGGTGATTGCTACACTACTTACTGATTTCTTTGCTGAAATCATGACTAGTTTTTGTCTTATAGAATGTATTCTGTATCTATGTTATGCTGTTCGTTTGTTTTGATGTGGTTAGAGATAATGCTAGTGAATGAAACGGATGTTTTCAGCCATTGTTAGTACTTTTACTCTGGCCCAAAACTAAGCCTTCTTAAATTGGTATTCTTTTTTATTTGTTATTCTGTTTTGTATGCAATGATATGCGTATAGTTGATTTTAGTTTTTGTTCATCCATTTTGACCTTTGTTTTTTTGTTAGGTTTGATCTTTGTAGTTGGCTCCATCCAGTTTACCTTATCTAGGTTTACAACTGTTGTAGATAAAACAATGTTCATTTTGTTATGGTTTGTTTCGTTGCTGCTAATGAATTTGGGAGTTTGTTAGTCCCCTTAACGTGCTTTCCCATTGATATTCTTGGGCCACCATTTCAGGCAGTGATATCAGTAAAAACAATGTGATATGACCCTGAGATTATAAACTCGGTTTCTGTCCTTGGGTTGACAGTTCAGTTGTATGTCCATCAACCTTATAAGAATCTCTCTAATGTTTGAGTAGTTGCCTAAAATAACTTAAATAATCAGTTTGGATTTTGAATCTCTTTGGGAGGGATACTCACGTTACCTATTCTGAGAGAACTCAAGCTACGTGACATTGCCTAGAATGGGAAATCCAGAGTAATTGCCATTTGGTTCTGTACTCAAATATTTAATCATCTGGAGACATACAAACCCTAATTAACATCAATTATTTATGCTTCATGGATTTCTAAGAACTAAGATTGTTGATTTTGCCTGAATGTTTGAGGATTTAAGTTGAAATTTGCATGGTGCACCAACTGTGGATTTTTTTTTTCTCATTGTTTTCAATCTTTTTGATTTATCCAGGTATGAGCTCGGTCGTCAGCCTGCAAATACTAAGCTTTCAAGCAACAAGACTGTTAGGCGAATCCGTGTGCGGGGAGGCAATGTGAAGTGGAGAGCTCTCAGGTTGGATACTGGTAACTTCTCATGGGGTAGTGAAGCTGTTACTCGTAAAACCCGTCTCCTGGATGTTGTATACAATGCCTCAAACAATGAACTTGTTAGAACGCAAACTCTGGTGAAAAGTGCCATTGTCCAGGTGGATGCAGCTCCATTTAAGCAATGGTACCTTCAACATTATGGAGTTGAAATTGGCAGAAAGAAGAAGACTGCTGCTGCTAAGAAGGATACCCCAGAGGTAATTGTTTTGTGAATACCTTTATTTGCCATATTTTTCTTTGTATGATTTTATTAAGGATTTTCGTGTCTCAAATTCAGTTTACCTCTTGTAAATTTTGGGTTATTGGTCAGGATAAACTTTAGCCCTTGCTCTTTCCTAGTTATCATCATTGTCATTTTAGAACAACCTGGTTTGAAAAATAAGGGCCACTCACTTCTTTCCTATTGCATTTTGACTTCTACCTGCACATGGTTCTTGAATTGTGTTGTCAGAGCAGTGAGAAGTGTTAATGATGTCAAATCTTACAGTCCAATTTGTTGGTGGTAAAATTGAATGCATATTGATTTTTTCTCTACCCTAGTTTCTCACCAAACTCATATGTGCCTGTCCATGGTTTTCGCAGAAGCATAGTTTGTATCTTATGTGTTTTTGCTTATAGGAATGCATGTTGTAGGCTAATTACTAACAACTTTCATCTCATATATGTATAAGCAGGAGGGAGAAGCAACTACAGAGGAAGCAAAGAAGAGTAACCATGTTGCGAGAAAGCTTGAGAAGCGTCAGCAAGGTCGCACCCTGGACGCCCATATTGAAGAGCAGTTTGGGGGTGGGAGATTGCTTGCTTGCATATCTTCCCGTCCAGGCCAATGTGGCAGAGCTGATGGGTGAGTCTAATACCTCGTGTTAATATTTTCAATTTTACTTTTTCTTGCATCATCTTATTTTGTATCTTTCATATTTTATCAGGTACATCTTGGAAGGTAAGGAACTGGAGTTTTACATGAAGAAGCTCCAGAGGAAGAAGGGAAAGGGTGCCGGTGCTGCTGCATAAACACTTCATTGACCGGACTTTTGTCCCTTTTGGTTTCGCATGAGATTTGTTTTAGTTTGAACCTTTTCATTTGTCTAGGGACATACATGTTGGTTGCCTGTGCTAATGCAAGTCTTTCAAGTTTTCTAGGCATCTCTGGTATTCCGGATTTAGAAGATTTTGACAATTTTGCTGACCGAGCTGGGTCTTTTATTGTTATTTGATATTTTTATTGTGCTAGTCAAAAGTAATTTACTGGACGAGTCAATGTAGAGTTTGGTGGATTTTGTTACATTTCAAACCAGAGTTTTATGAACTCTATATATCTTGTGGCAATCAATTGGCGTTTTGAAGCATTGAAATCTTGTTCATCAACAATGGTGATTGATTTGCTGGGATTCAGTTAACTGGATTTGAGATGCTGGAGTGCAGCCTGCAAAAATTTAACTTGTAGCTACAGATTGGAACCGCTTTTACAGATTACAAAATTTTATCTTTAGGTTTCGAAATATCTTTCCACGCCAATTCATTTTCATGGACTTGCTGACCTTCATGAACTTTCAGTCTTCAAACAGTCCAAGCTTGTCTTCGTCTTGATGAATGTTTCTTCTTTAATTTACCATGCACCTTCACACTTATCCAAGTTGCCTGAAGAACTTGCCTTAGTTTATTTAGGTCTATAATTTCGTTGCCGAATGGATTAAGTTTGATGTATGAGAAGTTGCGGCATATGTGCATGAAGTATGATGCAGGGCATGAAAAAACTTGGGGATTTTAAGGTTAGTGGGGTTGCAGAAAACTCATGTAAAAGAGAATTCTATTCACTCCCTATCTCCTAAAACAAACTACGCAATTCGTTACTCGAAATGCCCATTTTGCCTCCCATTAAAAATAAAATAAAATAACAAAGAAAATTGAAGAAGAAAAACACCCAACCCATCCCAATGTTGAGATTTTTTGTTTTTTGGGAGGTGGGGGCGGTAGCTTCAGCAAGAGGGGAAAACTCTGAGTTTAGAGAGAGTGAGGGTGGTTTGAGTAAGATCGGGGTGTCTAGAGAATTCCACAACTAAAATTGTGGGCTGGTACAAAATGGGCCCAAACAATATTTTCACGAAACCCAGCTGTGAACTTTTGTTTTCTTTTTCGATTGCTTCTATACAAATACCATGTGTGTGCGTGTGTGTGTGTGTGTGTGTGAGAGAGAGAGAGAGAGAGAGAGAGAGAGAGCAAATGCAAATGAGTGGGCGAAACGTAAATGTAAACTCAGTTTTCTACGCGGAGGCGTATCATCCGGTTCAAGCGGGAAGCATAGACGGCACCGACATTCTCCCTCACGACAACGCTGTCTACAGAGCCTTCCTTTGCTCCTCCGCTGGCCTCTGTATGTAAACTTACTCTCTTTCCTTCCCACCTCTACTTCTTATTTCTACTTTCCTCCCCGTAACTCTTTTCCCCTTTTGCAGATGACCCCTTGGGCGATCCCAAGCTCATCGGCGATCCTTATTGCACCCTCTTCGTCGGTCACCTCTCTCACCTCACCACCGAACAATCTCTTCGCAAGGTCATGTCCAACCGTCTCCCTCTCTCTGTGTTTGGTTTCCCAGACAGTTAAGCATACAAAGAGAAAGAAAGTTCTTCAATTGTTGTCGTTAGAGTTAGAAACCCAATGCTGTGCAAATTTTTTGGTCTGAAAATGAATTTTCTATTTGGGTTTTCAGGCTTTGAGCAAGTATGGTCGAGTGAAGGACTTGCGCTTGGTCAGGCACATTGGTAAGCTTAGCTTCTTAATTTTGCTTTGAAAAATTTAGAAGGCTTAACTTAATTTCTAATCTTACATAAATTATTCTACTTGTAGAAAAAAAAAACTTAAAATGTTTAGCCGTGTGCATATGGTTTGCAAAAAAATTGTTCTTTTTGACAGTGTAATACTATGAGGGTTCACCTTCATAACTTTCTTGTTACTTTTCTTGCAGTAACTGGTGCCTCACGCGGCTATGCGTTTGTTGAATATGAAACCGAAAGGGAGATGCAGCGTGCATATAAGGTGCGGCTGCAACTTGTTAGCCACTCTTAATATGATATGGAATTTGTTCATATATGTGTCCATCTTTATGTGTTGGGGAATTCTACTTTGACACTGTAGTAATGATCATGAATTTGTTCTCATGTACATGTCCTTCACTCACAAATTTAAATTATTTTGCCTGTGCTTGCTACTGTTGTGAGGAAAGAAATGTGCATATCACTTTTCTGTGGTTGGATGATCAAATTTGTATTGTTCATAATGGTAAGAGTAATGTCTAATGTGTAATGTATATGGTGGAAGGTGAGGCAATTCAGAAGTTTGAGGAAAATAAAAATAGGGAAAAATTTGAAAGTTGCTATTGAACATTAATTTCACCAACTTGTTAGCTTGGTTAGCTAATAAAATATTTTTGAAGTTATATCCACGTGCCTTGTCATCACATCTCACTCATAGCTGCTCGATTTCTAAACACAGCTATTAGGTAACGTGTGTTTACCTAATGCAACAGTATTGGTGGCGCCTTGCTTCTTTGAATGAATTAGATATCACTTTCTAAAATGGTCTTTATACTTAAGTGTGAAGTGAAACTTCGGGAAGGTTTAACAGAAAACAGGTCTTGATAGGCAAACTAATGTGGCAAATTAGATTCAAGTCTTATGAGTAACCACATATGTTTATTGTGGGGATGTTAATGTTTATGAAAGTATGATCAGCTTATATCATAACATGTCTATGGTGAGTCTAAGTTAGTTGCTTTTTTGCAGGAAGCTCACCATTCCTTTATTGATGATTCTGAAGTTATAGTTGATTACAACAGACAGCAGTTGATGCCAGGTTGGATTCCAAGAAGATTAGGTCAGTTAAATATTCCCATTCTTCTTACAAGTTTACCCTACATAGATCAAATTCATGTTATTTTTGTTGTTTTCACCAGGAGGGGGTCTTGGTGGTAAGAAGGAATCTGGACAACTTCGTTTTGGAGGACGTGAAAGACCATTTCGAGCTCCCTTGTATGCATTACTTCCTTATTAGATGTAACATATTCTATAAACATGTAGTGAATTAGTTGTTACACTCATTGCTCTATCTCATTTTGCGAGATATAGAGTTTTCATGCTCCTTAAGTTAGAAGAGGTTGACCAAAAAAAAAAAGTTAGAAGAGGAGGACAGAAGAGTTTCAGACTTACTGTTGTACTAAAATGGTTTTAGGAACTTACTCCTTTTGTATGATTTATTCTTTGTTTGAAGTGTAGGCATAGTGCCTTAAAAATCCTATTTAAATATTTAATGGGCAAGAAACATGATGGGAAGGACTACTAGTTCTTGGGAAGAGGAAGAACTAAGTGAAAAGATTCTCAGTTTGCATTCTACCCTGTATCTGTGGCAAGCCACTGGAGCATTAATTATTAACTCCCTTAGCAAGCAAGGTTGGTTAAAGTGTAACCAGGGGCTAGAAGTTCAGCTTAGGCAGAGATAATCTAGGGTTCTGAGGCCATACATGTACATTTTTATTCTTTTATAGTTTTGTTATGGAAAGTTGCATTGTGCTTTTGTTTGCGGTGTTAATGACTCTAAACCTTTTATTTTTCTGGGTAACCAGGCGTTCAATCCCATATGATGATTTAGAGAGACTCGGGATCCCACCTCCTCCAGAAGGAAGATACATGTCACGCTATCAGGTATTTTTCTTTTGGCCCTGTTAGCCATGTATGGTTCGTCATAATTAGGTGCATACTAACCTGCATTTGCTACAATCTCAGCTCAACTAAACATTTGATATTTAGATACAAATTAATTAACTTTTGAAATAACATATATACATACGTATATTTATAGTTTCTACACTAGTGGAGTACATGTATGGTTCCTCATGAATGTATATTCTTGTTCCCAATTTCTGCAGCATATAGTAGCAACTGCTCAAAGCAGTCTAGATAATTTAGTTTTGGAGCATTACCAGATCTCTACTCCGAAACTTCTGTCAGAGTCTTTGTTTCTTATTTATGTTTGTAGGTCCCATCCCCACCCAGAAGGAAAAGGAGCTCTGTGGATAGGGAGGAAGGTATTCATAAAAGGTCCATGGAGAGGGGAGCGAACATGCGCAAAAGCAGTCCTGTGGAGAAGGAAGAAAGGTCTCACAAAAGATCTATGGACCCAGAGGACCATTCATTCAAAAGGAGCTCTGTTGAGACAGAACACCATCGCAACAGGAGCTCTGTTGACAGAGCAGAGCGCTCTCACAAGAGGACCTCGAGGGATAGGGATGATCGTTCTCACAAGCGGCACAAGTCCCATCGCCATGAGAGATCCACTAGCCATGATCACTATTAAGATTTGCAATTGGGAAAGGCACCAAGGAGTTATAGAAAGACCCACTAAGGAGAGGAGTCACTACTAGTGATAAATATCAGTATGCGAACAGCAAGGTGCTTGCTTAAGACCCTGCTGGAACACTAAAGAACTAGTGATCAAGCACAATTTGGCCAGGAGCTAGTTGTGATCCGGATTCAAGTCAAAACATAGGCATGAGTTAAATGCCTTAACTGTTAAGCATAACAGTCCAAAATAGTTTACAATCCTGCAAAGTTAACCAACCCATTTCTCATCCTGTTTACTCATATGTGAAAGCTAGCACCAAGGCTTCAGGATTTAGGTTAGAGCAGGACTGTGGCTTTGTTGGTGATGCAGATGGCTGCTGTGGAATTGACTATACGAATATTTTGAACTTGTTTTACTTAGCAAAGTCGGGAAACATCATTTGAGTTATGCTTCCAGCTCAATAAAGTTCTCTTATTCAATGTTCCCAAGGGTATAAAAAGCATGAAAGTTTCTCGTCTTTATGCAACTTTGGTGAAACCAAAGCCATCCTAAGTTTACAGGAAAGAAGTCAGCAAATCTTCCCTCCATTATCTGTGTAGTATATTTATAGTGAAGCTAATATATTTCGCCTGATGGTATGATATTTTTGGAATGATGGTTTGCCAACCATTATGTTGAACGGCCTTTTTGGATCTTTTGGTGGTGTTGTAGAAGTGCCAATGGCGAGGGCAATGAACTCGCCCCTCTGCCTTCAAGTTCGAATCCCTCCCTGTAAATTAGAGTAATTTAGGGTTTGTTTGAAAGTGACTTATTATGGCTGTAGAAAGCAAAAACACTTCTCAATAGTTTTGGTTTAACTCGAAAGTTTCTTGTTAGATGGAGAAAAGTGTCAGTTTTGTGTACACTTCATTTTTCCAAACAAAAGTTAAATAAATTGTGTACTAGGGTGTGATGGGTAGCTTCATATGTTCACTTCATCTTAGCATTCAAATACCAATTGAGTGTACCAATTGTAGGAATCTGTATATGTGAATTTTCTACAATTGAGTGTACCAATAAGTAACACAAGTGAAATAAAGCCATGTTTGTAATAGCTAACATAAAAAAAATAACGTTGTAGCCATGCATATGCATTAGATATTGGATCAACGATTTGTATTAGCCAGTCATGCATTAGATATTGGATCAACGATTTGTACTAGCCAGTCTCATGCATTAGATATTACATTCATGTGCTTGTACTGTATTAGTCTCTCAACATGCGCGTGACGTCAGCACATGCCAATAAGTTTTTCTTTTTAATTTTTTTTTTTATATAGAAAACTATTGTTAAATATGAAAGCTCCTTTTCTTTCTTAATTTTTTTATATATTAAAATAAACTATTATTTTACATATTTGTCCCTTTAAAATGTGATTGTTATGTTTTGAAAAAAAAAAATAAAAAATAAAAGCCAGCAATTTTAGGGTTATTCGAAAATATAACAAGAATGACATTTTGCTTTATAGTGCCTTTATATATATAGGTTTAACTCAAGGAAATCTTTTGTAATTAACATAAGATAAATGAACTATTTTAGTTTTGGGCTAGCTCAATTAGGTTTATACTTTTGTTGGTTATACGTGAATGAGAAAGCCCATGGTGGAGATGACAATTTTTTTTTATGGGGAAGGATTTTTGTGGGGATTCGACCCTAATAGGCGGGAGCATTTTTGCTCGCTACTTTAATCCGAGGTGTACCCTCATCACCATTTCTAAAAATATGTTCATAAGTTTAACTATAGTTAATTCTTTATTTGTTTGATGACATTATTATGAGAGCGAAAGAATTTTTCTTGATTTACCCTTATTCTAACTTAACAAACTTTGCACTTTTCTAAATTAATTACCCATCTAGCGAACAACCCAAATAAATAATTGGAAACAGCAGGACGACCATTACTCAAAAAATTACCAAGAGGTTAGATGTATATGATTCAAATATAATTTAATTACCCATAAAGAGAACAACAACCCAAAATAATTGGCAACAGCAGGACGATCATTACTCAAAAAATTACTAAGAGGCCAGATGTTCATGATTAAAAATAATTTAATTACCTTTTAGTGTTTGCCATGCATTGCCTATAATATTTTTATACACTACGTTACAACAAATCCTAGAGTCATTCCCATTCAATTTCGATCAATACAAATTCAGTCCTGAAGAGTCAACATTCCTCATACCTAATTGAGATATGGAAACCTACAAAAAGCACAAACATTTATATTGGGCATGTGTAGATCGGGCTATGGAAACCTATGCACTTCATTCGACGTCAGTAAGGGAGTTCAAGATATGTACGGAACTTTTTTTTTATGAATGATTGTTTTGAAAAACACAAACGTAGGAATAGTATTCATTGAACAATATGAAATCTATGATGGCATTGCATGTTATGTATTACTGTATTTGGTATGAACAATTATTCACACTCTTCATTTAGACAAATTGAAAACAACAATATACTCATTTGTATTTGTATGCATTATATTTGGTAAGGATTCCCTCACTACATGTTTTGAAGAGATGGATAGCATCGAACCCTTTTGTATATGTTAAACAAATCCTAACCAAATCTCGCCTAATTGCAGGTGCAACCTGCAAAGACTTGTAATTCAAATAGTTAAAAGCAATGCCTTCTATACACCCGAATATCTTTTTTGCAATTAAACGAAAACTTATAGCTCAAGTAGTTAAGAATAATGTCTTATGTACACCCGAGTATCTCTTGTACAAAAAGGTCACTTTTTTTCTTTCTTTCTTGAATGGGTTAAAGGAATGTGGGATAAAAGCTGTCAAACCATAGCTAATTATAGTTCCCACTTTACTTCTGTGCGGTTGATTGGTTTGCAGCTTTCTGCTTGCTTTTCCAACTAATTTAGGCATGCTTAAGTTCAACAAGACCAGTCCGAAAGCAATTATCGTTGCTTTATTCGATCAACATTATACCTACATGCTGCCACTAACCATAACACAAACGCGAAAATTGAACAAACAACTGTCTTACATGCGATCATTTTACGTTATTAAATAAAAGTATGCGTTCGTTGTACAAGAAATCTGAGGTTTGCATTATTAATTTTCAAAAAGCCACAACCTCAAGTTTGTCTCAATTACATGATAGAAAAGACGGGGAAGGATTATGTTTATGCCTTGCTGTCAATGGTCATTGGCACCGGGTCCTGTTTGGCTCCTCCACTCTGCAAGTCCATATAAAATAAACCACACAAACGAATACAAAACATCAGTAATGGAAAGTGGCACTTCAAATCCAGAAGCGAATTAATTCAACACGAAATCAACTTACAGCTGATTTCACTTGTTCAAATTTGTTCATTTTCGCGAATATAGCGCCGTAAAACTGCGCATCCTTCTTGTTGTACTCTCTCACTTTCTCCTTCAAAACCTTGTATTCCTGTTTCACATCCCTGAATACACAGACAAATCCCACATTAACATCAGCAGTACAGACATTGGAGTCTCGTCCGATAAACGAACATCATAATAAGAGGCAGCATGAGAAAAACTCCATTTAGCATCAATTGACAGTGAAACAGACCTGTTGTCTGGGTCTATCTCAAGGGCCTTTTTGATATCCAGCTCTGCTAAGTCTAAATCAACAAGTTGGATATATGCTTGTGCCCTTCTATACAAGGCCTTCACATTCCGACTGTCAAGTTCCAAAACCTGCATATCAGAACTCTCACACATTAGAACAGAAAGTACACCAACCAGCCACGCACGTCACATGAGATGTGGGATATCAGCAAGGCACACCTTTGTACAGAGCTTCTCGGCCTGCTTGTATTCTTTAAGTTTAAGCTTGCATGCCGCATCATTCAGATTGCAAGTGATTTTCAGCATCTTCGATTGCTGCTTCTCCTCATCACTGAAAGCAGAGTCATATTCAATAAACTTCACAGCCTGACACCAAAATAGAAGGTTTTTGTGAGATGTTGTACATGTCAAAGTAAAAGTTCGTAACATCTAAACCAGAGCACAAGTCCACTAAGTATACCTTTTCATATCTCTTTGAGGCCCTTTCGTATTTACCAGCCTTAAATAACACATTGCCTTCTTCCTTCTTCTTCCCAGCCGCTTCTATCTTCTCCTGGGTGTTCAAGTCCCAAGATTCTTTCTCCTGCGGCCAGTAACGTAAGTTGAGTCCAACTTTTTCACAAGCAGGAAATTCCAATTGTCACGAGGGAAACATATCATACTCACTTTGACAAAGGAAAGCAGCTCCACTTCATAATACACAGTTGAATTTGCTGGAACAACAGCCAAATCTTGTGCAGATTCAGATGACCCAAAAGCATATTCTGGTTGAATGGTCACCAGAGCAACTTCCCCTTTCTTCATGTTCTTCACAGCTCTATCAAGTCCATCAATCACTTGTTCTGCGCAACAACTCCACTCTTAAGTATCCATACTTGAATCATAACTAGAACCAGTATAAGTACACAGAATGGTCAACAAGTTATAATTCTGTTAGTTTACCTTCATCTATCCTGAATTCATATGGTTCATCATCATGGCCCTTCTTTGTGAAGATTGTGCCGTCATGCAACTTCCCGACAAGTTTAACTGGCAGACACAACAACACAAAAACTTTTGAGTTTTCACAAAATTAAGGAATATAACATTGTAGCCTAAATTTTACTGTAGTCCTCATATTACCTTGAACTACTGACCCATCATTTGGGCGCTCATACCCCTCCCCTTCCTTTAAGGTCTTTTTCAGGACTTTCTTGTCCTTGGTAACATCAGAAACTGTTTTCCAGGAGACCAACTCAAGTGTAATCTCAAGGGATGCATTGGGAGGTACTGCAACTTCATCTCCCACAGCTTGTCTGCCCACCTCACCAAATCCATCTATAAAAATTATAGCCGTTAAATTCCATGTCTCGTGAAAATAGTCAAATAGTGTAACAAAACGAACCATTAGCATATAAGCATATAGCCGAAGTACTCACATTGTGGCTTTACATTCAAAAGGACCTTTTCGCCTTTCTTCATTGTTTTCACAGCTTTTGCTAAGGCAGGACAGAAAAAGCCTGCAGAAGAGAGAAACCACATTCAGATTACTCGAAAATAATTCATGTAAGGCAACTAAACATATTACTATGAGTAAAAGGCAATGAAACAAACCATCTTGGACAGTAAACTCCACCCCGTCAGATTTTGAAACAAGGGTCCCATCTTCAAGCCGAGCTTCATACTTAACTGAGATGACAACAAAGGATTGTGTAAGAACCCGATGAATTCAGTTCCATTCATCAATTTTTCTACTCATGGGAAAACATAGAAAAAGTACCAAACACTTCATCGAGGTCTTTTGGATTCTCCCATTTCTCTCCTTCAGTGAGAAT